AGCACCCCTAACAGATGGCCATCCAGCCTCCATTCAAAAACCTTCACAGGAGACTCCGCTGTTGGGCATGGAAAGTGTGTTCCCACCACCAATCAAAGCACCCCTAACAGATGGCCATCCAGCCTCCATTCAAAAACCTTCACAGGAGACTCCGCTGTTGGGCATGGAAAGTGTGTTCCCACCACCAATCAAAGCACCCCTAACAGATGGCCATCCAGCCTCCATTCAAAAACCTTCACAGGAGACTCCGCTGTTGGGCATGGAAAGTGTGTTCCCACCACCAATCAAAGCACCCCTAACAGATGGCCATCCAGCCTCCATTCAAAAACCTTCACAGGAGACCACTGTTGGGCATGGAAAGTGTGTTCCCACCACCAATCAAAGCACCCGTAACAGATGGTCATCCAGCTTCCATTCAAAAACCTTCATAGGAGACTCCACTTTTGGGCATGGAAAGTGTTCCCACGACCAATCAAATCACCCCTAACAGATGGCCATCCAGACTCCATTCAAAAACTTTAATAGGAGACTCCACTGTTGTGCATGGAAAGTGTGTTCCCACCACCAATCAAAGCACCCCTAAAAGATGGCCATCCAGCCTCCATTCAAAAACCTTCACAGGAGACTCCACTGTTGGGCATGGAAAGTGTTCCCACCACCAATCAAAGCACCCCTAACAGATGGCCATCCAGACTCCATTCAAAAAACCTTCATAGGAGACTCCACTGGTAGGACTGTAGCCAGGGGGAGGGTTAAGAGTTCAAGACCCCCACCCAAAATGTGTCAGGTTAAATAACTCGGTTTACTCATGAACTTTAAATGCTTAACCAACTCATCAGTAGACTAGTTGTTTTTTATCTGACACATTTGTAGGGGGGAGTTAAACCCACCCATCRCCCCCCCCCCCGGGCTGTGGGCCTGGCTGAAAGAGACCCCCAAAAAGAATGCACTCCAAACTCATTCTGCTAGGCAGGAATGCACTAAACTCTCCCGACAGATGACCATCCAGCCTTTGTTTAAAAAGCTCAAGAGAGAGYTTTGATTACTGCAGGAATATGGTGCTCGTACTCTTCAAATGTAGGCACTGTTGCGACTTTTACACAATTTGCTGACTGAGTTGCAGAAATGGACCACTAAAAGGGATCAGTTCCTAATTAATAGAAAGTCTGTTGACAACGATGTTTGTGATGAACCACATGGAGCAGCTATTGAGGGAACAACACAAAAATCAACTGGAGGACCCAAGAAAATAATTCCAAACTTCATAAAAGGGAATTCCAGACAGGAAACAATCAGCTAACAAAATCTGGCTACCAGTATTAAAAAAACTCTAAAATTACAACAGCACAACAGAGAGGAAACAAACTAGGACATCTAATCACCTCTCAACAAAACTTTGCTCCAGGCACTGTCAGGCTATTAAATGCTAATCAAGGTGATCAGTTGAAACATTCACACCTAGCTCCAGCAGAGAAGAGTCCTTTGTCCCACCCTGGTCATTCCACAGATATATAAACCCTTTTTCCTAGTTTCAACAGACCTCACTACTTCTGAGGATGCTTGCCATAGATGCAGGCGAACCATCAGGAGAGAATGCCTCTAGACCATGGCCATAAAGCCCGAAAAAAACCTACAACAACCCAATCAGCTAACACCTCCCAACAAAGTGTTCCCCCAGGCAGGAAGCAGCCAGGCTTTGAAGCTGCAAGGCCATTCAGTGCTAATCAAGGCAGCCAGTTGCAACATTCACACTTACCTCAAACAGATGAGAGTTCTTTCTCCCACCCTGGACATTTCTACAGATATATAAACCCAATTTTCCTAGTTTCCAGCTGACCTCACAACCTCAGAGGATGCCTGCCGTAGATGTAGGTGAAACGTCAGGAGAAAATGCTTCTGGAATATGGCCAGACAGCCCGGAAAACTCACAGCAACCCAATGTAAATAAATACCCTTGCATCTCAACCCACTAGGAGAGGAAAAGTGGACCAGATTCCAAAGGTTCTTCCTTAGAGAGTCCAAAACAACTATTCTGATTGTTACAGTCCAAAAATAAAGTCCACCAAATCTTTGTTTTCCTCTCTGGCTGTGGATTTTTATCTGCCTCATATTTGATCTTTCAGGACACTGAGCTTTTTAGCAACTGAGTCTATTTATTGTACAAAGAAACAGGAATAATGTGTATTGTCGAAGGCTTTCATGGCCAGAATCACTGGGTTGTTGTAGGTTTTACCGGGCTATATGGCCATGGTCTAGAGGCATTCTCTCCTGACGTTTCGCCTCCATCTATGGCAAGCATCCTCAGAGGTAGTGAGGTCTGTTGGAACTAGGAAAAAAGGGTTTATATATCTGTGGAATGACTAAAAGGAATAATGTGTGTTCTTCCTTTTTCGACTTGACTCTTTTTCTATTAGAAACCCAAGGCAGATGAAGCCCAAAAGATGGCGCTGCAATACAATCAATGGAGGCCGAAGCCTGAGGCCTTGCTAAATAGATGCAGAGAGACTGTGACCGCAAACTTTGCAAGATGGTTGAGATGGAGAAAGTCTGTAAATACCTGGCCTATGAATTTCTACAGGTGAGAGGGTTAAGTATGCTCCTGCCTCCATCCTATGGATGTGTTCAGTGCTTGGAAAAAGTTATATTTTGGAGACTGCAATTCCCAAATTACATTTTGGGCCTGGCTGGAGTCTGGTTAGGATTCACAAGTTGGAGGCCTTGAGGCTGGATTGACACTGCCATACCCTGTTTCCCCAAAAGTAAGACAGGGTCTTATGTTCCTTTTTGCTCCAAAATGTGTGTTAGGGCTTATGTATAGCTGTCTGGACACTATTTTAAAATAGTGAACTGTAACTAAGGCTTATTTTTGAAGTAGCGCTTATATTTCAAGCAACCTCAAAAATCATGCTAGGGAGGTCTTATTTTCAGGGAAACAGGGTATAATCCAGATCATCAAAGAAGATAATCCAGACAACTCCTTGTAAACTACTAAAAGTTAATCCATTAGTACAATGGATTAAAGCGCTGAGCTGCTGAACTTGCTGACCAAAAGGTTGCAGGTTCAAATCTGGGAGCGGCGTGAGCTCCCGCTGTCAGCCCCAGCTTCTGCCAACCTAGCATTTTGAAAACATGCAAATGTGAGTAGATTAATAGGTACCTCTCCGGTGGGAAGGTAACACTGCTCGATGAAGTCATGCTGGCCACATGACCTTGGAGGTGTCTACGGACAACGACGGCTCTCGGCTTAGAAATGGAGATGAGCACCAACCCCCAGAGTCGGACACGACTGGACTTTATGTAATTTGTTTATATGTCTTCTTGTTCACATTTCATGTTTGCCAAATATGTTGGAAACAAATACATAAAGTTATTATGACTATTATAATTATATTACTCCTTGATAACTTTTTATAAAAAGGCATCGTTAGAAAATACCTCTGTGAAGGTTAGGGTTCAGTAAGTAACAGACAATTAAACAGGAAATAATACTTTCAAACCAGGAACAGATTTTTTTTCCTTCAAATTTTGTTACATGATGAAATGTGGGAAGGAAGGAAGCCATATGGGTTGGGCTGAACTCACTGTAAGAAAGGCAGAATATAAATATAAAGAATAGGTAAAGTAAAGGTTTTCCCCGACAGTAAGTCTAGTCTTCTCCAACTGGAGGGTGGTGTTCATTTCCATTTCTAAGCCAAAGAGCCGGCGTTGTCTGCAGACACCTCCCAGATCATGTGGCCAGCATGACTGCTCAGAGCCCTGTTACTTTCTCACAGAAACAGTACCTATTGATTTACTCACATTTGCAAGTTTTCAAACTGCTACTTTGGCAGAAGCTGGGGCTAACAGCAGGAGCTCACCCCACTCCCCAGATTTGAACCTTTTGGTCAGCAAATTCAGCAGTTTAACCCAATAATTTGCACTAAACCATCTTGGTAGTGGGTGATGGGAAGAAAATGACTTTTCCTTGAAGCGAAGGATTAGATTTTGGCCCAAGTGTCAGAGATGGACTGCAACCGCGCTTGCTTAATAGTAGAAATGTCCAGGGTGGGAGAAAGAACTCTCATCTGTTTGAGGTGTGAATGTTGCAATTGGCTGCTCGATTAGCATTGCATGGCCTTGCAGCTTCAAAGCCTGGCTGCTTCCTGCCTGGGGGAATCCTTTGTTGGGAGGTGTTAGCTAATTGTTTCCTGTCTGGAATTCCCATTTTTGAGGTTTGGAATTATTTTCTTGGGTCCTCCAATTGATTTTTGTGTTGTTTCCTCAATAGCTGCTCCATGTGGTTCATCACAAACATCATCAACAGACTTTCTATTAATTAGAAATGGATCCATTTTAGTGGTTCATTTCTGAAACACCAAATTATGCACATTATAAAAAGTGGAGACAGTCCTTACACTTAACCAGCACCAGCACATTCCTACAGTGATCACACCTCTGTGGTGGTTTTTAAACAAAGACTGGAAGGCTATCTGTCGGGAGAGCTTTGTGCATTCCTGCCTGGCAGAATGAGTTTGGACTGAAGTCTGAATGGTCATCTACAGGTAGTGCTTTGATTGGTGGGGGCGGCGTTTTCAGGCCATGCAGCTATATGGACTTACAGGTGAAACACTAATTCAGTCATGGGCCAAGTTGGCCCCTCCCCTCAAAGTGTTTTGGACCCCAACTCCCACAATTCCTAACACCTACCGGCTGTTAGGAATTGTGGGAGTTGGAGTCCAAAACACTTGGATGGGAGGGGCCAACTTGACCCATGCCTGAATTAGTGTCTGTAGCTGAATYACTGTAATGATGTCCCTTATGTGAATGGGACTGAGTAAAGTATTGGTCCAGCATGTATGTTGCCTGCTGTAAGAACCCAGTCCTGTGGAAGCTGTTCCCCTTTCCCCGTGTGCATGGCTTGAGATGTAGTCAGCTCTCCCCTGGGGCTGTTGGGGTGGCTCTGAAAAGAGCCTTTGGGTCTGTTTGTTGAGTTTGACTTGGTCCTTCCTTCGTTGGTGTGACTAGACGGCGAGGGTGGATCCCTTGGGCTTGAGGCCCTTGGAGCCGGCGGGTCTCTTGGAGCCGCTCCCTCTCGCGGCCGCTCCAGGTGGCCCTCGGGGCTTGGAGCTAGGCGCGGAGGCGGCGGCGTGCTCGGTCTTCTTGGGGAGGAGGACGGCGTGGATGTTGGGCAGGACGCCGCCCTGGGCGATGGTGACTCCGCCGAGCAGCTTGTTGAGCTCCTCGTCGTTGCGGATGGCGAGCTGGAGGTGCCTGGGGATGATGCGGCTCTTCTTGTTGTCCCGCGCGGCGTTCCCGGCCAGCTCGAGGATCTCTGCGCTGAGGTACTCGAGGACGGCGGCCAGGTAGACGGGGGCCCCGGAGCTGATGTGCTCGGCGTAGTTGCCCTTGCGCAGGAGGCGGTGGACGCGCCCCACGGGGAACTGGAGTCCGGCCCTAGAGGAGCGCGACTTGGCCTTGGCCCGTGCCTTGCCGCCCGTCTTGCCGCAACCGGACATCGCCGCTCCGCGCTTGCCTATAGCGCTTCTTTCCCTGCCCGACCTCCTCTCTCCTCCTCGAAGCCCAGGAAAGTGCGCTGAGAGTGGCCACGGGGCGCTCTTTTATACCCTGCCTGAAGGGGGCGCCATGGCTGTGATTGGGGCAAATCAGGATCCGCCTTCCGATTGGCTCAGAATTCCCCACCAATGAGAGAAGCGCGCCCCAAAGACAACAAAGCGCCGCTTCTTGAGGGGAATTCTTGCAAAAGACTGTGTGTGGGAATTTCTTTCTATAGGTAGACAAATATTTGAATATGCCTAGATATAATTATGACACAAAATGGCAGGTTCTTGAGGGAATTATTTTAGACTATAGGGGCGTGTATTGCAGTTCAGATCTATGTAAACATTCCTTTTACTAGAATTATTTTACACTGCATGTCTATATAGGTAAAGGTAGTCCCCTGACATTAAGTCCAGTCATGTCTGACTCTGGGGTGTGGTGCTCATCTCCATTTCTAAGCCGAAGAGCCAGCGTTGTCCGTAGACACCTCCAAGTTCATGTGGCCGGCATGACTGCATGGAACGCCGTTACGGTACCTATTGATCTCACATTTGCATGTTTTCGAACTGCTAGGTTGGCAGAAGCTAGGGCTGACAGCGGAAGCTCAAGCCGCTCCCCGGAATCGAAGCTGCGACCTTTCGATCAACAAGCTCAGCAGCTCAGTGTTTTAACCCACTGCGCCACCGGGGGCCCTGCTGCATGTCTATATACACACATATAAATCTCTCATATATAGACGACACAAAATGGCAGGTTCTTGAGGGAATAGTTTTAGACTGTGTGTGTATTGCAGTTCAGATCTATGTAAACACGCATTTTGCTACAATTAATTTACACTGCATGTCTACTTTCCGTGTGCATGGCTTGAGATGTGGGTCAGCTCTCCCTTGGGGCTGTTGGGGTGGCTCTGAAAAGAGCCTTTGGGTCTGTTTGTTGAGCTTGTCCTGGTCCTTCCTTCGATCGTTGGTGTGACTAGACGGCGAGGCTGCCTGCCTGGGGCTTGAGGGTGGGCTTGAGTCCCTTAGCGCCGGCGGGTCCCTTGGAGCCGCTCCCTCCGGCGGCTGCTCCTCCCGGTGGTCCACGGGACTTGGCGCTGGGAGCGGAGGCGGCAGCGTGGGCGGCGGGCTCGGTCTTCTTGGGGAGGAGGACGGCGTGGATGTTGGGCAGGACGCCGCCCTGGGCGATGGTGACTCCGCCGAGCAGCTTGTTGAGCTCCTCGTCGTTGCGGATGGCGAGCTGGAGGTGCCTGGGGATGATGCGGCTCTTCTTGTTGTCGCGCGCGGCGTTCCCGGCCAGCTCGAGGATCTCTGCGCTGAGGTACTCGAGGACGGCGGCCAGGTAGACGGGCGCCCCGGAGCCGACGCGTTCGGCGTAGTTGCCCTTGCGCAGGAGGCGGTGGACGCGCCCCACGGGGAACTGGAGCCCGGCCCTGGAGGAGCGCGACTTGGCCTTGGCCCGCGCCTTGCCGCCCGTCTTGCCGCGACCCGACATCGCTGCTCCGCTCTTGCCTATAGCGCTTCTTTCCCTGATCGACCTCCTCTCTCCTCCTCGAACTCCAGGAAAGTGCGCTCAGAATGGCCGCGGGGCGCTCTTTTATACCCTGCCTGAGGGGGGCGCCCTGGCTGTGATTGGTGCAAATCAGGCTCCGCCTTCCGATTGGCTCAGAATTCCCCACCAATGAGAGAAGAGCGCCCCAAAGACAACAAAGCGCCGCTTCTTGAGGGGAATTCTTGCAAAAGACTCTGTGGGAATATCTGTCCAAAGCTATACAAATATTTAAATATGCCTAGATATAATTAAGATCCTAATTTTTTTTCAAAGAGAAGCAATTATGTACCTATATTTTACAAATATTTAAATATGTATAGATATATACACTTATACATATATAAATCTCTCTCATATATATAACAGATTTATATATCTATATGTATACACAAAGACACATCCCTTTTCCTAATATTTTCTCAAAGTAAAGTAATTATTTCCCTATATCTATAATAATATTTAAATATGTATAGATATAATTATGACACAAAATGGCAGGTTCTTGGGGGAATTGTTTTAGACTATGTGTGTGTATTACATAGTTCAGATCTATATAAATACTCCTATTTTTGTAAACACTTCTTTTACTAGATACACACACACACACATGATTTATATACCTATGTGTGCACACAGACATATCCCCTTTCCTAATGTTTTTTCAAAGAGAAACAATTATTTCCCTATGTTTTACAAATATTTAAATATGTATAAATATAATTATGACACAAAATGGCAGGTTCTTGAGGGAATTGTTTTAGACTATATGTGTGTGTATTACACAGTTCAGATCTATGCAAACACTCCTATCTATGTAAACACTCCTTTTACAATTCTTTTAAACTGCATGTCTACCTACATATCTATAAATCTCATATATATATATGAGATTTATATATCTATATGTACACACAGACACATCCCTTTTCCTAATATTTTTTCAAAGAGAAGCAATTATTTCCCTATATCTATACAAATATTTAAATATGTATAGATATAATTATGACACAAAATGGCAGGTTCTTGAGGGAATTATTTTAGACTCTGTAAATACTAGACAATATAAATGTAAATACTTCTTTTACTAGAATCATTTTACTGCATCTACATAAACATATATAAACCTCTCTCTATATACATATCAGATTTGTATACAGAGACACAGTCCTATCTATATAAAGTTTAGAAACACTTCTTTTACTATATATATATGTGTGTGTATATATATCTGCAGTACAGATGTACATATGTAAACACACCTTTCACTAGGATTATTTAACAATGCATGTTTACATACACATAAATTAATCTTTCTCATATATATATATGAGAAAGATTTATTTATGTGTATGTAAACATGCATTGTTAAATAATTCTAGTGAAAGTAATTATTATTATTACATCTGTCGTTTGTGTGTGTGTATATATATATATATACACACACACACAAACGACAGATAAATAATTATTAGATGTATGTTTATGTACACACAGAGACACATCTATTTTCCATATATATATATATATATATATATATATATATATATATATATGTGTGTGTGTGTGTGTGTGTGTGTGTGTGTGTGTGTGTGTGTGTAGTAACAGTGTGTGTTTTCTCTTCTATATATATATAATCTCTTCCAAAGAGAAATAATTATTTCCCTCACAACAACCTCACAACCTGTGAGGATGCCTGCCATAGATGTGGGCGAAACATCAGGAGAGAATGCTTCTGCAACATGGCTATACAGCCCAGAAAACACCCCAACTGTTTCCCCCTCAAGTTTTCAATGCCTGCTTCTGATCTACTGGAGAGAAATCGAAATTTTAAAAAATCCCTTTTCCCTGTCCCAGATGGAAGAGTTGGATATTATTATTACTATTACTACTATTTAATATTTATGATCATCTCCTTTTGAACGAGACTCAGGGCCGCTCAGGACACTTAAAAGAATACGAATTGCTGTTTCACCTGAAACACATAAACATTCAAATGGACAGGACTTTTTTGTCTATTAGACTTATGAGGCTTCTCACTTCAACCGGCAGCGAGTCCTTTTAATGCCAATAAATAATAATAATAATAATAATAATAATAATAATAATAATAATAATAATAATAATAATAGTATTATTATTGTTAGGTTCTTGTGGGTTTTTTTCGGGCTATATGGCCATGTTCTAGAGGCATTTTCTCCTGACGTTTCGCCTGCATCTATGGCAAGCATCCTCAGAGGTTGTGAGTATTGTTGTTGTGTTTTGGTGCTGGCTGAGGGGATCTCTCTCTCTCTCTCTCTCTCTCTGGGCGCCTTTTGAGGGAGAAGCAGAAATGGCGCCGCGGTTTCCCGCCTTTTTTCCTCTCCTCTCTTTTCCCTGTCAAAGAAACTGAACGGCTGAGGAAACCTCCTTCTGGAGTGTGTCAAACGAAAATATCATCCTTCATATCGGAGAGAAATCAAGCCAATCCACTAAATAAACCAGGAAATCCCCATTTTAAAAACTACTTCAAACAAGCGCCCAAAATATGAAGTTTCTTCCCTGGGGAGAAATCCATTGCTCTCGTTTCTTTAGCCATTTCAGCCAGGCATCCCTTTACATCCCTCTAATTCTTAAATTACTCGACTAAAAATGCCTCTTCTATTTGTAATTAATATGTATTTGCTCCATTCCTAAACTGACTTCCCAATGAGTGAAAGCCCACTCTTAATCATCATGGAGGCGCCTGGCTTCGAAGAAAACATAGATATGGACAGAATGACGGATTAAAATAGTATTTAATGTGCCTGCCTCGGTCCTGTCATACACATAAACACTAGGAATAGAGTCCTGTGCTGACATGAAGATTGGGGAATTATTAATCTTTCTTTGAAGGATGGAATAATTTGAGGAAATAAGTGAAATAAGGGACTTGGCCTCCCATCCAAGTGCCAACCAGGGCTGGCCCTGCTTAGCTTCTCATGTCAGCACTTTCAAATGTTTCACACCAAATGTTTCACGCAGTGTATTGCCGAAGGCTTTCATGGCTGGAATCACTGGGTTGTTGTAGGTTTTTTCGGGCTATATGGCCATGGTCTAGAAGCATGCTCTCCTGACATTTCGCCTGCATCTATGGCAAGCATCCTCAGAGGTAGTGAGGTCTGTTTGGAAGTAGGAAAAGGGGTTTATATATCTGTGGAATGACCAGGGTGGGACAAAGGACTCTTGTCTGCTGGAGCTAGGTGTGAATGTTTCAACTGACCACCTTGATTAGCATGTAATGGCTTGGAAGTGCCTGGGGGAATCTTTTGTTTAGAGGTGATTTGATGTTCCTGATGAACCAACCTGGACACGGCATATTATTTGAGAACATAGAAATGCTGGACCACTCTCACAACCACCATGTCAGACTACACAGAGAAGCCACAAGCATGTGGACAATTTCAACAGAAAGGAGGAAACCATGAAAATGAACAAATCTGTCTACCAATATTTAAAAAACTCTAAAATTACAACAGAAAAACAACAGAGAGTAAACAATCAGGCACATCAAATCACCTCTCAACAAAAGATTCCCCCAGGCACTTCCAAGCCATTAAATGCTAATCAAGGTGGTCAGTTGAAACATTCACACCTAGCTCAAGCAGACAAGAGTCCTTTGTCCCACCCTGGTCATTCCACAGATATATAAACCCATTTTCCTACTTCCAACAGACCTCACTACCTCTGAGGATGCTTGCCATAGATGCAGGCGAAACGTCAGGAGAAAATGCCTCTAGACTATGGCCATATAGCCCGAAAAAACCTACAACAACCCAGTTTCATGTAGTATACTTGGGAAAAAGTACTTTTGAATGTTTCACATAGTATAATAACATTTCAGCTTCCCCTGCTTTTGGAAGAATGACAGCTCTTTGGTTCTGGGCTCTGATTGGTCCAAGCGCGGAGGGGCTTGTTGATGAACGTTCCGCTTCTTTGTTTGGGCCACGCCCACTTTAGATGGGGGCGGACCTGACTGAAAACCACAACAATTACAGGCGACTGAGGCAGAGAAGCTTAGCAGGATAAGACCCTGACTGAAAACAACGGGATTTGCATATTCAACAACTTTCCTTTTTTATTTTCTTGTACTTGAATCTGAAATTCAAAATGTTTCCACCTAAACTGGAGACAGAGGAATAATTTATTTCGCCAGGTGGCAGGCTTCATCAGATATTTACTTCATAATAAAACTTACAGGCAAGTAATTCTACACTGTAGAATTAATGCAGTTTGACACTACTTTGGCTCAATGCAATGGAATCCTAAGAGCTGTAGTTTGGTGAGGCCTCAGCACTCTTTGGCAGAGAAGGTTAGGGAAATGTATTGTCGAAGGCTTTCATGGCCGGAATCACTGGGTTGTTGTAGGTTTTTCCGGGCTATATGGCCATGTTCTGGAGGCATTTTCTCCTGACGTTTCGCCTGCATCTATGGAAAGCATCCTCACTACCTCTGACAACAATTATTTAATTGTTGAACTGTTATATTTTGTATTGTTTGTTGTGTGATTTGGGCATCTAATTGTGCCTCCTTTGTAAGCCGCCCTGAGTCCCCCCCCGGGGTGAGAAGGGCGGGGTATAAGTAGATGAAATAATAATAATAATAATAATAATAATAGATGCAGGCGAAACATCAGGAGAAAATGCCTCTAGAACATGGCCATATAGCCCGGAAAAACCTACAGCAACCCAAGGTTAGGGAACTTGTAAAACTACAAATCCTATGATCCCATTGCATGGAGACATGGCAGTTTGAATGATGTCAAACTTCATTAATTTGAGATGGGGTTTTGCAAGATATTTAGCCTTTTCTGCCCAAGAGTGCTGGCTCCTCACCAAACTACAGATCCCAGGTTTCCACTGCATTGAGCCATGCCAGTTAAAAGTGCTGTCGACACGCATTAATTCTACAGTGGGGATGCATCTGGAGAAGTGGGGCTTAGCGCTTGTAATAGTTCCACAAATGAAGTATTCAAGTTGATGTAATAACGTGATTGACAGGAGACATCTGGTTTTCATACCGATTTTTAAGAGGGAGAGCTTTATTCGGTTTTCATCTAGTTCAGCCCTTGAGAACATATCAGGGATTCTGAACACTCTGGTATAATTACACTCTATTTTCCTCACGAAGCCTAGCGCCCGATTAATGTTACAATCGTCGCCAACCAAAGACAGAAAAAGGCGGGACGCGGGGATCCGACCTGAGTGAAAACCGCACACACTTCTGACAGCATTCGAAAAGAACCAGCGCTGGTTCTGAGCTTTCGCAGCCAATAGAAATCAAGCATTGCGCTGATATGTAAATTAACTAGTAGAACTTCATCCCCTTTCCTCCTTTTGGCCTAAAGAAGTGAGCCAGGCAAGATTTAACTGCTTGCCTTTCCAAAGAAAATCAGTGGTGAGATTGTTGTTGTTGTTGTGATGTAGTTGTTGTTATTATTTGAAACACAGTAAGATGAGTCCACAGCCGACAAGATCACTCTGCTGGCTGTTGTATTGGATCATAGAATCAAAGAGTTGAAAGAGACCTCATAGGCCATCCAGTCCAACCCCCTGCCAAGAAGCAGGAATATTGCATTCAAATCACCCCCTGACAGATGGCCATCCAGCCTCTGTTTAAAAGCTTCCAAAGATGGCCATCCAACCTCTGTTTAAAAGCGCACTTTTCAAAGTAGCCAATGCACATCAAGATCAGTCATGCAATAAATACATGGGCATGGCAAACGTTCAGAGTTCCACTGCTGAACGGCTCTCACAGTCAGGAAGTTCTTCCTCATGTTCAGATGGAATCTCCTCTCTTGTAGTTTGAAGCCATTGTTCCGCGTCCTAGTCTCCAAGAAAGCAGAAAACAAGCTTGCTCCCTCCTCCCTGTGGCTTCCTCTCACATATTTATACATGGCTATCATATCTCCTCTCAGCCTTCTCTTCTTCAGGCTAAACATGCCCAGCTCCTTAAGCCGCTCCTCATAGGGCTTGTTCTCCAGACCCTTGATCATTTTAGTCGCCCTCCTCTGGACACATTCCAGCTTGTCAATTATCTCTCTTGAATTGTGGTGCCCAGAATTGGATCACATGTGGAACACTTCCCGTGTCTACTTGTTATGTTGTTGAAAACATGCAAATGTGAGTAGATCAATAGATACTGCTTCTGTGGGAAGGTAAGGGCATTCCATGGTCATGCTGGCCACATGACCTTGCAGGAGTCTACGGACAACGCCGGCTCTTCGGCTTAGAAATTGAGATGAGCACCACCCCCTAGAGTTGCATATGACTAGACTTAATGTCAGGGAAAACCTTTACCTTTACCCTGATAATATAATACATTTTAAACTGCATTAGATGGGGTCTGCATTAGAGATGGAGATGAGCACCACCCCCTAGAGTCGCACATGACTAGACTTAATGTCAGGGAAAACCTTTACCTTTACCCTGATAATATAATACATTTTAAACTGCATTATATGCGACTATAGATGGGGTCTAAAACTCCTGGATTTAATAGGACCTAATTCATCTGAAGAGAGTAATCATAATAGAAAACAGTGTAACAGAGATGTGGGATAAAAAGCATGCTGTCGAGGAACAATAGTAATTACGACATAAACTAAATATAATGGTAATAATTTTAGTGTTGCCTTTTCTCCTTAGATCTTAAAATGATGTAGTTACCTATCTGTTACACAACAATTATTATTATTATTATTATTATTATTGTTGTTGTTGTTGTTGTTGTTATTATTTCCCACTAAAGGCAATATCATTTCTGGGACGGTTAAGAGTCTAGATCAGGCATGGGCAAACTTCGGCCCTCTAGGTGTTTTAGACTTCAACTCCCACAATTCCTAGCAGCCGGTAGGCTGCTAGGAATTGTGGGAGTTGAAGTCCAAAACACCTGGAGGGCAGAAGTTTGCCCATGCTTGGTCCAGGTGGAAACAACTTTAAGGGCAAACATTGTTTTAGTGGAATTGTCAATAAAGTGAGAACAAAACTGGCAATCAGTATATGTTTGTTTATATACCTTAAAGTCATTAGTCCATTAGACCCCACAAGTTTCACAAGATACTCAGAAGTGGTTTTGCCATTTCCTTCCTGTGAAATATCTGCATAGCATTTGGTGATAATTGGTGGTCTCCCATCCAAGTACTAACCAGAGATGCTTCGTTTCCAAGATGAGAAAGCATCTGATGATTTTCAGATTATTTACATCTTAGCGGTAAAATAAAACAATAACAATAACGACATCCTGTAAGGAATAAATTTTTATTTCATTTCTATCCAATACAATTTTCTGAATCAATACTCCAAATAACCAAACCGAATCTAAAATTGTCCAAAAACTGATTCGTAATCCTAATGTTGGGTGAGAGTATGCAGAACACATCATGCGATGTGCGGGGCTTGATTTATTTATTTTATTTATTTATTTGCTTTATTTCTATACTGCATTTTTCAGCCTGATACGGCGACTCAATGCGGTTTGCATTTGATGAATGCAAAGCTGGGGTGAAAATTGCTGGAAGAAACATTAACAACCTCAGATATGCAGATGACACCACTCTGATGGCCGAAAGCGAGGAGGAGCTGAGGAGCCTTCTAATCAATGTGAAAGAAGAAAGCGCAAAAGCTGGGTTGCAGCTAAACATAAAAAAACCAAGATTATGGCAACAAGAATGATTGACAACTGGAAAATAGAGGGAGAAAATGTGGAGGCCGTGACAGACTTTGTATTTCTAGGTGCAAAGATTACTGCAGATGCAGACTGTGGCCAGGAAATCAGAAGACGCTTACTTCTTGGGAGGAGAGCAATGTCCAGTCTCGATAAAATAGTAAAGAGTAGAGACATCACATTGGCAACAAAGATCCGCATAGTCAAAGCCATGGTATTCCCTGTAGTCACCTACGGATGTGAGAGCTGGACCTTAGGGAAGGCTGAGCGAAGGAAGATCGATGCTTTTGAGCTGTGGTGTTGGAGGAAAGTTCTGAGAGTGCCTTGGACTGCGAGAAGATCCAACCAGTCCATCCTCCAGGAAATAAAGCCCGACTGCTCATTGGAGGGAAGGATACTAGAGACAAAGTTTGAAGTACTTTGGCCACATCATGAGGAGACAGCAAAGCCTAGAGAAGACAATTATGCTGGGGAAAGTGGAAGGTAAATGGAAGAGGGGCCGACCAAGGGCAAGATGGATGGATGGCATCCTTGAAGTGACTGGACTGACCTTGAAGGAGCTGGGGGTGGTGACGGTCGACAGGGAGCTCTGGCGTGGGGTGGTCCATGAGGTCACGATGAGTCGGAGACAACTGAACGAATGAACAACAACAATCCTAATGTTGGAGAGTGGTCCCTGGTCAAAAAAAGGTTGGGAACCACTGACCTAAACATTAGGAAGAATCTACTGGTGGGAAGAGCTGTTCGGCAGTGGAATATGTTGCCTGGGCGTCTCCTTTTCTGGAATGTTTTTAAAAGCAAAGGCTGAATGGCCATCTGCCAGGGCTGCTTTGATTGTATGTTCCTGCATGGCAGAAGAGGGTTGGCCTGGATGGTCAACTCTTACGATTTAGAGCAGGTACAAAGATGTGGATGAATTACCAATTCGGAAAAAAGGAAAGACCTTCTCATCTTCAAAATCGATTGATCGGAAAGTAAAGAGGCGTTTCTTATCTTCATCATAGAAATGCACTATTCCAGCATCATAGTTCAAAGAAACCTGGATCTCTACTGGATCATAGTTTAGATCCAGAAGGGTAGGGGGTGAAGTAAGAGCTTTGTACTGGTCGTCGTAACGTGCCATAGCCCAGATCCCCTCATCAGGCTTGAAATCAAGTTTCCCTCCCCTGTCCACAGATTGTTGGGCTACACCCACCGCCCAGTAGTCACCATCCTCTACATTCACGATCCAATAATGTTTTCCAGAGGTGAATCCCTTCTTCCCAAGCACACAGCGGGCAACCTCAAATCTTTTGGAGCTGTATGGCAGATCCTGGCGGGTCTTTGCCCAGTGTACGCTTTTCCGGTCATCAGACACAAAGAACCGAGGATGGGCTGTTTTTGCATCCAGCGTCACATTTTCTGAAAGAGAATCAACACAGTGATGGAACATCTAAGGCAGTGGTTCTCAACCTTCCTAATGCTGCGACCCCTTAATACGGTTCCTCATGTTGTGGTGCCCCCCAACCATAACCCTAACATTATGAATTGCCATATAAATAATGATTTGCAGGATGTATTTTCATTCACTGGAGCAAATTTGGCACAAATACTGGGTAGTATGCCCAAATTTGAATACTGGTGGGGTTGTCGGGGGGGATTGATTTTGTCATTTGGGAGTTGTAGTTGCTGGGATTTATAGTTAATATGCAAACAAAGAGCATTCTGAACCCCACCAACAATGGAATTGAACCAAAGTTGGCACAGAGGACTCCCATGATCAACAGAAAATACTGGAAGGGTTTGGTGGGCGTTGACCTTGAGTTTGGGAGTTGTAGTTCGCCTACATCCAGAGAGCACTGTGGGCTCAAACAATGATGGATCTGGATCAAACTTGGTACAAATACTCAGTATGCCCAAATGTGAACACTGATGGGGTTTGGGGAACATAGACTTTGACATTTGGGAGTTGTAGATACTGGGATTTATAGTTCACCTACAATCAAGGAGCGTTCTGAACCCCACCAATGATAGAATTGGGCCAAACTTCCCACACAGAACCCCCATGACCAACAGAAAATACTGTGTTTTCTGATGGTCTTTGGCAACCCCTCTGTCACCCCTTCGCGACCCCCTCAGGGGTCCCGACCCCCAGGTTGAGAAACACTGATCTAAGGCTAGAATCATTTGGCCTAATTTAATGATTTGATGTGGAAGGGAACTGAACTGCAATACTGCATGTTCCTTCTTTAAAGAAGAGCTTTCCAAATATTTCATATTGGTGGTACACTATGTAAACGTGCATAATTTATGACACAGTAATTAAGTTATACTACCAAACTGGAGGTTAAACCAACCCCTTATAAAAATGGGGACACATACATACATTGTAATAATGAAATGTACAGGGACTCAACAAATCCCATGGAAACCTTTAATTTATATTTTTTAAAATGTGTGATTATAAGATATTGATATACATTTCCAAGATTTTTGTCATTTCCCGTTATGTTTGTGTAATGCTCTTTGATTGTAGGTGAACTATACATCCTAGTAACTTCAACTCCCAAATGTGAAGGTCTATTTCCCCCAAACTCCTCCTGTGTTCACACTTGGGCATATTGAATATTCCTGTCAAGTTTGGTCCACATCCATCATTGTTTGAGTCCACGGTGTTCTCTGGATTCCAAAAAATTCCAAAACCCAAGGTCAATGCCCACCAAACTCTTTCAGTATTTTGGTCATGGGAGTCCTGTGTGCCAAGTTTGGTTCAATTCCATTGTTGGTGGAGTTCAGAATGCTCTTTGATTATAGGTGAACTATAAATCCCAGCAACTACAACTCACAAATGACAAAATCAAATTTTAGAGTGATGGTCACTCCTTGGGTTAGTAGGTGACTTGTGGCCAAATTTAGTGGCAATTCCTCCAGTGGATTTTGAGTTATTATGTCACTCAAAACGAACAGAGCATTTTTGTCTGGCTTGCCTACTCTGGAACATGCAACATATAATTGTCCTTCTCTAGGGGTCCCTTTCAAAACTATGGTACTATATCTGTCAACGTGTGTGTGTGTGAATCATATATATATTTATCTATATCTATGGCTGAATGGCTCTTTGTCAGGAGGGCTTTATGTTTTCTTGCTTTGGTGAAGGGAGTTGGACTGGATGGCCTTAAGGCAGCATTTCTCAACCGGGGGTTTGGGACTCCTGGGGGGGGGGGGTGTCACCAGGATGGTGTCAGAAGGGTCACCAAAGACCACCAGAAAACACAGTATTTTCTGTTGGTCATGAGAGTTCTGTGTGGGAAGTTTGCCCCAATTCTGTCGTTGGTGGGGTTCATAATGCTTCTTGATTGTAGGTGAACTATAAATCCCAGTAACTACAACTCCCAAATGTCACGGTCTATTTCCCCAAAACTCACATCTGTGTTTATATTTGGGCATATGGAGTATTCATGCCAAGTTTGTTCCAGATCCATCATTGTTTGGATCCACATCTCTGGATGTAGGTGAACTACAACTCCAAAACCCAAGGTCAGTGCCCACCAAACCCTTCTAGTGTTTTCTGTTGGTCAGGGGAGTTTGGTTCAATTCCATCGTTGGTGGAGTTCAGAATGCTCTTTGATTATAGGTGAACTATAAATCCCAGCAACTACAACTCCCAAATGACAAAATCATAATTTTTTGAGTGATGGTCACTCCTTGTGTAGTGAGACGTTTTGTTGCCAAATTTGGTGTGATTTCGTTCATTGGTTCTTTTGTTTTTAAGATACTCATTATGCACAGAGCATTTTTATATAGATAGATAGATAGATAAGTAATCCAAGTTTGCAGGAAGTAAAGAAAAGAGAGGGGATTTTTAAGGTAGTCCAGGGAGGATAGCTCCACTAAGTTTTCCAGGTCATCGCTCTTCCTTCCCTGGGCCTCTTTAAAATGCCTTGGAAAGCTGTGTAGCTGTGCTGGGAGAGAAAGCGAGGCACGCCTGCCTCTCCTCTAGCGCAGAATCAGCTTTAAGGAGCATCAAACCCAGTTTCCTCTAGAAGGGAAAAGATCCAGATAGAGTGGTATCTTAATGCTGATGTTTTTTAAAACCCAGGTCTTAAGGATATGGAAGGGGAATCTGTGGAATGTTCCACCCTATAACGGGTTGGATAGGGTGCTTCCTTAACCTCATTGCTTAAGCTTAGGCTCCCTTGAAGGGAAGAAAGGAAAGGTTCATACAATCATAGAATCATAGAATCAAAGAGTTGGAAGAGACCTCATGGGCCATCCAGTCCAACCCCCTGCCAAGAAGCAGGAATGTTGCATTCAAATCACCCCTGACAGATGGCTATCCAGCCTCTGTTTAAAAGCTTTCAAAGAAGGAGCCTCCGCCACACTCCGGGGCAGAGAGTTCCATTGCTGAATGGCTCTCACAGTCCGGAAGTTCTTCCTCGTGTTCAGATGGAATCTCCTCACTTGTAGTTTGAAGCCATTGTTCCGCGTCCTAGTCTCCAAGGAAGCAGAAAACAAGCTTGCTCCCTCCTGTCTGTGGCTTCCTCTCACATATTTATACATGGCTATCATATCTCCTCTCAGCCTTCTCTTTTTCAGGCTAAACATGCCCAGCTCCTTAAGCCGCTCCTCATAGGGCTTGTTCTCCAGACAAGAGGGGGAGAAAGGGCAGTTTCATAAGTTCCCCATTGCAGCCAATGGGCCAAATAGAGCTACTTTTTTCGGATGCGGAAGTAAACACCTATTCGGCAGCTTGTCCGTTTTTGGGAGGCGCACGAAAATAGATATGGGGGGCTTCTGGTATCTGGGAAGCAGAAACGGATAGTGATTTACCTGAAATGAAAAAGAAACTTACCTTTTATCCAGTTTGTCTTTGGCATGTTCACTTGAAAAACGGAAACTGAGAAGACAAAATAAAGAAATCCAACTCTTAACAAACAAGTAAGTCCTATCATCTCTACTTGCATAAAACACTACCCATGTCTTGCCCATTATGAAAGATCTCATGTTGGATCTACATTTGCCACTCCACAGATATATCTATGTTCATCTCTAGTTGTCTGGGGCATTCTACTGCAATCAATCAATCAATCTGATGATTAGAAGAGAGTGGGGGTGATGTGACATGGCCGTGTCCCCACCCCATCTTTAAGACTAGATGCCTTAATCCCCAATCAACAGGGATAATGAATGAATCACAGCCGTTATGTCTAATGACCGCCAAACAGGGAAGGCTGGATAAGAACTGCAACTGGATGGTTCCTGTGATGTTGTCCAACTCTTTGCTTCTATGTGTCTAAGTTAAGAGGAATTTGTCACCTGTATATTGATCCAACCTGGTGTTGATCAGGGTTAAGTTTTCAGTGAAGGATCCAAGGATCGCATTCAGATCATGTCTGGGTCTTCTTGTTTCTTGCTCACATCTAGAAACAACATGCACATGGTTTAATATGAGCTATTCCTTTGTAGTACCGAGGAAATATTCTGCTACATATTCTCTCCGGCTTCAACACGCTTCCGCCATTTTGAGGCGCGGTCCGCTCCTCCGAGGCCTAGCCGGCCCCGTCAATGCTCAAGCCCTAGAAGTAACCCATTTCCAGCAAACGCCAGTGAGTCACCAGCCGCGCGGATACGATCGTTTTGCGGCTTCTGGGTTCCTCCACCGGCTACCCGGCGATTGAGAGGGGTCTTTTGCTGGTGGTTCCTCCGTGGGGGTAACCCTTTGTGTCATCTGGACCCCAGCGACGCTACCTCTGCCTTCCCGGTGGGGAGCAGCCTCCGGCGTTTCCAGCGCCTTGGCCGGGGGCGGTTCCCCCTCAAGTCTGACCCCCTCAAGATTGAGTGTTTCTGAAGGTCTTGACCATTTATAGCCTGGATCCTGGTGGTCCCCTCTCAAGACTTTTTACTGATCGTTTCCATCTCAGGTTCACCAGGCCACTGGGCTACTAGGCCACTACTCCTACCGTTTGTTTCCATCTTGGACTATTGGCCACAATTGGGTGGCAGGAATATTTTTTTTTAATTTTTTTTTTTTACGCAACTGCTGCTACGCGACTTACCATCAGCTGCCATTACTTATTATTTATTATTGGCTACCATTATATGAGCTTGACCATCGGCCGCCATTTGGGACTGGGTTGTCATCGTTCATGCTATTGCCTCAGGTCCGGAAGAAACACCAACTAAGACAGTACCAGACTCTGTTTTAATCCATTGCTGACCTTTACGACTGATCGTGTGGACCGTCTTTTGCTCTGTTAACCATCTGTATTGTGTGATCTCTTCGTTGATGTCATCACTGATTATGCTGACTACTCTCAGTGTGGCTGATGTGAAATACTAATTGCTTGCTGATGAGTAACTGAAGTGCATAACTATCAGGGTGTTTAGTACTTTAGCACTTTTGCACTTTATTCTGTTCAGCACTTTACCATCTGTGTGGCGATTAGATCGCTATCCGCTGAGCCCAGCACTTTAGTGTTAACCAACCATCTAGCATTAAGTCCTCCATGATGCACTTTATTTAGCACCTTAGAGTTGACTGCTATACTGCTTGCACTTTAAAAACGGATTTAATAGCTTTATCCATGTCACGACCCATTCCTTGGCACTTGTTATTATTGTTGCTAATTGTTTACGATAGAGAGAAGGAATGGAGCAGACCTGAAAGATCAAATTATAACATTATTGCAGTGACAAAGGAGCTATGGTTTGATACTAGGGCCACCGTATGCATCATGGAGGAGGGAGAGGGTTCCGTTAACCGGGGAGCCCCCATAGAAGTCGTGGTGGGGATGGGGAGATACGGGAAAAGGAGACCTTTAATTCGGCCTAGGGAACGTGTAACAACATTAGTAATTCCAAATCGATCTCCCGATATGGTAAGTCGGTGTAACCAAGATGGCGGTCCCTCCGAGTTGAAAGTGGTGCTGTTGAACGCCAGATCTGTCAACGGTAAAACAACTTTCATCCAGGATCTAATCCAGGATGAACGGGCAGATCTGGCGTGCATCACAGAGACCTGGTTGGACGAAGCGGGAGGTGTAAATTTAACCCAGCTTTGTCCACCAGGTTTCTCTGTGCAGCACCAACCGAGATCCGGAGGGCGGGGAGGCGGGGTCGCAGTGGTCTATAGAGATTCTATTCTTCTGACCAGAGCCCCCATTCCGCAGACCACAAATTTTGAATGCGTCCACCTGAGGGTGGGTGACCGGGACAGACTAGGGATTCTGTTAGTGTACCGGCCACCTCGCTGCACTACAGACTCCCTACCTGAGCTAGCAGGGGTTGTCTCGAGCCTGTCATTGGAGTCCCAACGGCTTCTTGTGCTGGGGGACTTCAATGTACACGCCGAGACTGCCTTATCGGGAGCGGCTCAGGACTTCATGTCTACCATGGCAACCATGGGGCTGTCCCAGCAAATATCTGGCCCCACCCACAGTGCTGGACATACATTGGATTTGGTTTTCTGCCAGGGATGGGAGGAAGGTGGCGGTGTTGAGGAGTTATCCATCTCTCCGTTGCCATGGACCGACCACCATCTGGTCAGTTTTAGACTTACTGCTCCCCCTAACCTCCGCAGAGGTGGAGGACCCATTAAGTTGGTCCGCCCCAGGAGGCTTATGGATCCAGATGGATTCCTGATGGCTCTTGGGGAATTTCCCGCCACTTCGGTTGGTGATCCTGTTGATGCTCTGGTCGCTCTCTGGAATGGGGAGATGACCAGAGCAATAGACACGATCGCTCCAGAACGTCCCCTCTCAAGTAGCCGAGCTAAACCAGCTCCTTGGTTCACCGAGGAGTTGGCAGCGTTGAAGCGAACGAAGAGGGAACTAGAGAGCGTGTGGCGTTCGGATCCGAGCGAGCCAAATCGAACACGGTTTGTGTCCTTTTTAAGGGCATATGCCGCGGCAATAAAAGCCGCAAAGAAATCTTACTTTGCGGCTGCTATTGCGTCTGCTAAGAACCGTCCGGCGGAGCTGTTCCGAGTTGTCAGAGGCCTATTAAAACCCACCACTCAGGATGGGTGCCCTGATGACTCGGCAGCTCGCTGCGAAGCTTTTGCTCGGTTCTTCGCAGACAAAGTCGCTTTGATCCGCTCTGGACTGGATACCATATTAACGGCAGTATCGAGGATGTAACACGAGCATCTGCTTGTCCGGTTTTGATGGATTCATTTCAATTGGTTCAATCCGAGGATGTGGACAAGGTGCTTGGAGGAATGAGAGCTACCACATGCATCCTAGACCCCTGCCCATCCTGGCTTCTGAGGAGGCCAGAGGGGGATTGGCCGAGTGGGTGAAGGTGGTGGTTAATGCCTCCCTTCGGGAGGGCAAAATTCCAGCCAGCTTAAAGCAAGCTGTTATAAAACCGCTGTTGAAGAAACCATCACTGGACCCCACTCAATTCGTCAACTATCGGCCTGTTTCCAATCTCCCCTTTTTGGGCAAAGTCATGGAACGTGTGGTGGCTTCACAACTCCAGGCATTCTTGGTAGACACGGATTATCTGGATCCGGCACAGTCTGGCTTTAGGCCGGGGCATGGTACTGAGACAGCCTTGGTCGCCTTAGTGGATGATCTGCGTCGGGAGCTCGACAAGGGGAGTGTGTCCTTGTTGGTGCTGCTCGACCTCTCAGCGGCCTTCGATACCGTCGATCACGGTATCCTTCTGGGACGCCTCGCGGGGATGGGGTTGGGAGGTACTGTTTTACAGTGGCTCCACTCATTCCTCGAGGGTCGGTCTCAGATGGTGTTACTGGGAGACTCCTGCTCAACTCCACAACCTTTGCTTTGTGGGGTTCCCCAGGGTTCAATACTGTCTCCCATGTTGTTTAACATCTACATGAAGCCGCTGGGCGAGATCATCCGGAGTTTCGGAGTGCGATGTCATCTGTACGCAGATGATGTCCAACTCTGTCACTCCTTTCCACCTGCTACTAAGGAGGCTGTCGAGGTCCTGAACCGGTGCTTGGCCGCTGTGACGGTCTGGATGGGGGCGAACAAATTGAAATTGAATCCAGACAAGACAGAGGTACTCCTGGTTAGTCGTAAGACCGAACAGGGTATAGGCTTACAGCCTGTGTTGGACGGGGTCACACTCCCCCTGAAGACACAGGTTCGCAGTTTGGGTGTGATCCTGGACTCACCGCTGAGCCTGGAACCCCAGGTTTCGGCGGTGACCAGGGGAGCATTCGCACAATTAAAACTTGTGCGCCAACTGCGACCGTACCTTGGGAAGTCCGACTTAGCCACGGTAGTCCACGCTCTGGTTACATCACGCCTTGATTACTGCAACGCTCTCTACGTGGGGTTGCCTTTGAAGACAGCCCGGAAGCTCCAACTAGTCCAACGGGCGGCAGCCATGGTACTAACAGGAGCGGGGCGCAGGGAGCACACAACTCCTCTGTTGCGCCAACTCCACTGGCTGCCGATATGCTACCGGGCTCAATTCAAAGTGTTGGTTTTGGCCTTTAAAGCCCTAAACGGTTCTGGCCCAACTTACCTATCCGAACGTATCTCAGCCTATCAGCCCGCCAGGGCCCTAAGATCTTCTGGAGAGTCCCTGCTCTCTATCCCGCCGGCTTCCCAAGCGCGGCTGGTGGGAACGAGAGACAGGGCCTTTTCTGTGGTAGCCCCTCGGCTTTGGAACACCCTCCCTTCAGACATACGATCGGCTTCTTCGCTGATAAGGTGCTTGTTTATAAGGTGCTTGGAACACCCTCCCTTCAGAGATACGATCGGCTTCTTCGCTGATGGTTTTCCGGAAGAGGTTAAAAACATGGCTGTGTAGTCAAGCGTTTAACTAGTTATCAAACACTGAATCCATGGACAATTTCGACTGGTCAATTACGGACAATGATCTCTGGACTGCGATTTTGTGATGAGAAGCATGAAGTTTTTATTGGTGGCCCAATAATTTGTATTGTTTTATATGTTGCTGTTTTTAAATTGTATATTGCTTTTATCTGTTGTTAAACCACAATGAGTCGCCGTCCCAGGCTGAGATACTGCGGTATATAAGTGTATTAAATAAAATAATAAATAAATACATAGTGAAGACATTTTTGCTAGATACTAAATTAGAAAGAAAACTGCATTAGACAGTAAGGACTTGGAATAATATATATATAACACAACATTCCAAGTTGTGTTGAATGAAATTGTATTTATTATTCATCCTAGCCATGACTACTGAATGGTCAGGATCATCAGTGTAACAACCTTCTAGATCAGTGGTTCTCAACCTGGGATCCCCAGGTGTTTTTGGCCTTCAACTCCCAGGAATCCTAACAGCTGGTAAACTGGTTGGGATTTCTGGGATTTGTAGGCCAAAACACCTGGGGACCCAAAGGTTGAGAACCACTGTTCAGTCACTTCCGACTCTTCATATCCTCCTGGACCAGCCCACGCCAGAACTCCCTGTCGGCCATCACCTCCTCCAGCTCCTTCAGGGTCAAGCCAGTCACTTCAAGGATACCATTCATCCATCTTGCCCTTAGTTGTCCCCTTTCTTTTTCCTTCCATTTTCCTCAACATCATTGTCTTCTGTAAGCTTTCCTTTCTTCTCACGATGTGGCCAAAGTACTTCATCTTTGCCTCTGATATCCTTCCCTCCAATGAGCAGTCGGGCTTTATTTCCTGGAGGATGGACTGGTTGGACCTTCTCGCAGTCCAAGGCACTCTCAGAACTTTCCTCCAACACCACAGCTCAAAAGCATCGATCTTCCTTCGCTCAGCCTTCCCTAAGGCCCAGCTCTCACATCCGTAGGTTACTACAGGGAATACCATGGCTTTGACTAGGCAGATCTTTGTTCCCAGTGGGATGTCTTTACTCTACTATTTTATCGAGATTGGACATTGCTCTCCTCCCAAGAAGCATCTCCTGATTTCCTGGCTGCAGTCCGCATCTCCAGTAATCTTTGCACCTAGAAATACAAAGCCTGTCACTGCCTCCATGTTTTCTCCCTCCATTTGCTAGTTGGCAATCAGTCTTGTTGCCATAATCTTGGTTTTTTTGATGCTTAACTACAACCCAGCTTTTGCACTTTCTTCTTTCACCTTGATTAGAAGGCTCTTCAGCTCCTCCCCACTTTTGACCATCAAAGTGGTGTCATCTGCATATCTAAGGTTGTTCATGTTTCTTCCAGCAATTTTCACCCCAGCCTTGCATTCGTCAAGGCTTGCACATCGCAGGATGTGTTCTGCATACGTGTTGAATAGGTTGGGTGAGAGTACACAACCCTGCCGTATGCCTTTCCCAATCTTGAACCAGTCTGTTGTCCCATAGTCAGTTCTCACTATTGCTACTTGGTCATTATACAGATTCCTCAGGAGAGAGACAAGGTGATTTGGTATCCCCATACCACTAAGAACTTGCCACAATTTATTATGATCATAGTCCTGGGTAGCATGGTAGACTTTCTGCAGCATTTTCCTATGTTGCACAATGTCATAGGAGCCCCCAGTGGCGCAGTGGGTTAAACCCCTGTGCCGGCAGGACTGAAGACCGACAGGTCACAGGTTCAAATCCGGGGAGAGGCGGATGAGCTCCCTCTATCAACTCCAGCTCCTCATGCGGGGACATGAGAGAAGCCTCCCACAAGGATGATAAAAACATCAAATCATCCAGGTGTCCCCTGGGCAACGTCCTTGCAGATGGCCAATTCTCTCACACAAGAAGCGACTTGCAGTTTCTCAAGTCACTCCTGACACGACAAAAACAAAACAAAACAAAACAAAAACTTCATAGGATGCCATAAGGTGGACAAAAACTGTTCCTGTAATGCAACCTTTCTCATATCTTTCCTCAATGTACTCTGTCAAGTTAAGAATTTGAGCTGTACAGTTTTTCCGTGGTCTGAAACTTGCTTGTTGTGCAATAAGCTGAGGTTCAGTAACAGGTTTAGTAGCATCCTCTCAAATACTTTATATAGATGACATAGGAGCAAAATTGGCTGGTAGTTCCTGGCACTGGAGGCGTCTTTACCAGATTTTTAAATGGCAATGATCTTAGTTTTCCTCCATAGACTGGGAATCTGTTTGTGTGCCAAGCTTTGATTGTAAAATTTCAAAAGCCAGTTTTTATTATTATTATTATTATTATTATTATTATTATTATTATTATTAAACTTTATTTGTACCCCGCTAGCATCTCCCGAAGGACTCGATGCGGCTTACAAAGGCCAAGGCCTCAACACACAATATAACAATACAAAACCTAAGCAAATTAAAACAATTAAAGCAATATAAACAACAAGCAATAAACAATACACTAAGACACAATAAAACTGGGCCGGGCCAGAGTAATGGGTACAAGATTAAAAGTGCTGATGTGGCAGGTGGTATATAAGGCATTATAGGGCAAGTGCAGTGTGCGGTGTGCAGCAATCTTAGTTCTAGTAAAGTGCTTATGGGACTTGGTAGTGGAGATTTCCTATTCTGGGAAGGTAATTCGGAACAGCCAGGTCTTCAAGTTCTTTCTAAAGACAGCCAATGTAGGGGCCTGTGTAAGATCTTTGGGGAGGGTGTTCCAGAGTCGGGGGGCCACCACAGAAAAGGCCCTATCTCGTGTCCCCACCAAACGCGCTTGCAACGCAGGCGGGATCACGAGCAGGGCCTCTCCAGATGAACGAAGTGAACGCGTGGGTTTGTAGATGGAGATGCGGTCACGCAAGTAGGATGGTCCCAAACCGTTCAGGGCTTTGTAGGTAAGCACCTGCACCTTAAATTGGGCTCGGAAAATAAACGGCAGCCAGTGGAGCTCCTTGAACAGGAGGGCTGACCTCTCTCTGTAAGGGGCCCCAGTTAGCATCCTGGCTGCTGCTCGTTGAACCAGTTGGAACTTCCGAGCCATTTTCAAGGGCAGCCCCACGTAGAGCGCATTGCAGTAGTCCAATCTGGAGGTGACCAAGGCATGGACCACCCCGGCCAGATCAGCCTTCGCAAAGTTTTCAGCTTTGGGGCCCAGGTGTTTGATTTGCTCCATCATTAAGTCATTGAAGCCCCATGATTCCCTGGATTTATAGATCAATCTTGCATGCACACATGAAGGAAAAGCAAACCTAGTGGGGATCCTGGTGGAAACAACACCCTGAGTTGCAAGGGAATGCTTAAGATGGAGAAATGAGGTGGGATCCAAAAGGTTCTGGTTAGCATAGTGGGCTCATCTAAATGGAGTTCTTATACGTACCTGTTCAGTAAATCACCAATGCCCTGAAGGAAGAAAAGGGAAAAATTATTAGCCTCTGCTGTAAATGCCCTTTAGCATTTTTAGAGGCTGGATGTTTCTGTGTAGAGTGGCAAAAGGCAAGAGCTTGGTCTATTCTGGGAAGTCTAAAAGAAGCACCGATCTTTTCTACTGTCTCTTCAATGGCACTGCTTCTGGTCTGTCTATGGAAATGGCGGAGGTGGTCAGTAGCAGCCGACACCAAGGGAACATTGCTGCTTCCCCTTCTCCGCAGAATGATCCTTGACTTATCCATGGCTCATAGCAAAATCCGTAATTTTGGCTCCCAAACCTGCTCTCAACTTATAGATGAGATTGATTTGCAGAGGAGTATATATGGTAATATATTCACAGAAAGGGAATCTATTAGGGGGTAGGGGGTGAGAGACCGCCTCACCCCCTACCAACCCCAGAGATCCCTCTGTTCTGAAGACCGAGATTTGTTGGAAATTCCCAGTGTCAAGACCTTGCGTCTTACAGAGCCTTTACAGCAGTGGCACCATCACTCTGGAATACTCTGCCACCTGAAGTCCGTGCCTTGTGCGACTTATCAGCTTTCCGGAGGGCATGTAAGACATATCTGTTTCAACAGGCCTTTGATATTTGATATTGCTGTTTTTAAATTGTTTTAAATTGTTTTTAAATTGTTGTTTGATTTTAGCCTGTTCTTGTAAGCTGCTCCAAACCCCAGGGAAGTGGCGGCATATAAGTTCGAATAATAAAATAAAATATAAATAAAAATAAAATATATTATTAAATTATATTTCTGTCACATTATTAAAACTATAGTTTGTTTTATGAACTATACACTAAGCCACTCTGAGGCCCCACGAACACTGAGGCTGGTGTAGATTTGGATCAGCTCTACGACAGCTTTAACATGGACTTGCCCCGTGGTACCTAAAGAATTTCCCAGAAATCACGCTTTCCTTCAACATAGGTCCCATCTGACTGGCTATTTAATGCAGTTTGAAGTTGTTGTTGTTATTATTATTATTATTATTATTATTATTATTATTATTATTATTATCTTTATGTGTACCCCGCTAGCATCTCCCGAAGCACTCGATGCGGCTTACATAGGCCAAGGCCTCAAAACACAACACAACAATACAACACCCAAAGCAAATTAAAAACAGTTAAAGCAATATAAACAACAAGCAATAAACAATACATCAAGACACTATAAAACTGGGCCGGGCCAGAGTAATGGGTACAATATTAAAAGTGCTGATGTGACAGGAGGTATGTAGGATTGTAGGGTAAGTGCAGTGTGCAGTGTGCAGCAATCTTAGTTCTACTAAAGTGCTTTTGGGACTTGTTATTGGAGATTCCTAATCTGGAAAGGCACATCGGAACAGCCAGGTCTTCAAGTTCTTTCTAAAGATTGCCAATGTAGGGGCTTGTCTGAGATCTTTCGGGAGGGCGTTCCAGAGTCAGGGGGCCACCACAGAAAAGGCCCTGTCTCGTGTTCCCACTAAGAGCGCCTGCGACGCAGGCGGAATCACGAGCAGGGCCTCTCCGGATGAACGAAGTGAACGTGTGGGTTCATAAACGGAGATGCGGTCACGCAGGTAGGATGGTCCCAAACCGTTTAGGGCTTTGAAGGTAAGCACCTGCACCTTAAATTGGGCTCGGAAAATAAAGTTGGCTTCAAACTCTGATGGCTAGACAACAAACTCCTACAAAACTATGCAAAAGAAAGTCTCCAATGTGCATAAGTGCTCTGTGATTTGTGTAATCACTGCATGGATCTCAAACTGGTTCCAGGATTTAATAAAAGAATAATAAAACTTTATTTATACCCCACTCCATCTCCCCCTGGGGGACTCGGTGCGGCTTACACGAGGCCACACCAATGTCTCCAGCTGCACAGCAAAATCACTTCCTTCGATTCCTGGTTTGAAACCATGAAATGTTCAGTGTAGATGGGGTCTAAGGCTGTATAACTTATCCACCATTACCATGATCCTTTTTAATGTTTTGTAGTGCCTACATTTCCAATATGTTGATGAAAAAATAAACACAAAAGGGCGTGCTCCTGTTGATTAAATAAAATAAAATAAAATGTTGCACATGTGTAAACTTCTGCATTTTAAAGTAATTTAACTCACTGTGGTACTCTATTTCCCATATCCCTTTCAGCCATGCAATCTTTTGTCAACATGAGGGATAGCAGCCTGGTCAGAGGAGCATGGCTTAATGCTATGGGATCCTGGGATTTGTTGTTTGGTGAGGCACCAGTGCTCTTTCCTAGAGCAGGCTAAAGACCTCATAAAACTACAACTCCCATGATTCTATAGCACTGTGCAATTGCACTTAAAGTGGTGTCAAACTATTATTAATTCTACGATGTTCCTCTCTCCCATATGAACGATCAGGGGCACCATTGGCCAAGCCTCACCTGCAAGAATCCAAAGGAGGACTGCTGAGACTTCTCTTCTATTTCACTGATCAGTTTGTTAAGACAGGATAAATCATTGGGTGCTTTCATAAGTATCTGCAGATTGGCTTCACATGCGTTTACCAGGGGCATCATCACGGTCTGGGCTTCTTTTTCTGGATAATCGGATCCAATGAGACGCTTGGCAGATTCCAAATTACTCTGCAAAGGGCAGGGGTCAAAAGGGAAGGAAAAGAGACATGAAAGCCAATGTGATGGGACAGCCATTGTAATTTCAGGCCCTTTACGTTAGCCATTGATAATCCAAATACAATATGCATATCAACTGGGCTCTACAGGCCAATGGATACTCCACCACAGACATCAGAAGAGCTGCAAGACCAAGAACAAGCCATGAGAATAAAGACGAAGATCCACCCAGAGGAAAAGTGTTCTTGCCATACATCAAGGGAACCACTGACCACATAGGGAAGCTGATGAGGAAACACAACATACAAACTATCTACAGACCCACCAAGAAAATCCAACAAATGCTACGTCCAGCAAAGGACAAGAGGGATCCTCTCACTTCTGCAGGAGTCTACCATGTACCATGCAGCTGTGGACAAGTCTACATAGGGACCACCAAATACAGCTTTGCCCAAACACGAATCAAGGAACATGAAAGGCACTGCAGACTACTTCAACCAGAGGAATCAGCCATAGCAGAGCACCTGATGAACCAACCTGGACACAACATTTTATTTGAGAACACAGAAATGCTGGACCACTCTCACAACCACCATGTCAGACTTTTGCTACCAGTGGACCATGGGGATTGTTAGGTGCCGAATAAATATAGTTTCTGGTTGCCTGAGAGTTACCATTAAAAACAGGCCTAACTAACACTATACCTCATACTATACCACAACAATCTGTATTGACTTGATGTTAATATTGAAATACTGTAATTGAAAGTAAACAAAGGCAAACTTAATGTAGCACAGTTTTACCGCATTATAAAACCAGCTTTGTGAATGCAGTATGTATGATTTCTTTGATTTTTTGCAGGTTGCTTGAGATCCAATTAACTTGAGAGTCAACTGTGTTAAGATTGCAAAGAAATCTGTGGATTTTGCCAAGTGCTTGTTATTGCTATCTGGATACAGCTGTGTGGCTGTGTGGCAACATTCACTCATACCGGCTTTAGCACAGCAGGTTAATCACCAGCTGCAGTAAATCTTGACAAACTGAAATGAATCCATGGGTTGTAGGTTTTTCCGGGCTATATGGCCATGTTCTGGAGGCAATTTTTCTCCTGACGTTTCGCCTGCATCTATGGCAAGCATCCTCAGAGGTAGTGAGGTCTGTTGGAAGTAGGAAAAATGGGTTTATATATCTGTGGAATGACCAGGGTGAGACAAAGGACTTTTGTTTGCTGGGGCTAGCTGTGAATGTTTCAGCTGATCACCTTGATTTGCATTCAATGGCTTGGAAGCGCCTGGGGGGAATCTTTTGTTGAGAGTGATTTCATGTGCCTGTTTGTTTCCCCTCTGTTGTTTTGCTGCTGTAATTTTTGAGTTTTTTAATACTGGTAGCCAGATTTTGTTCATTTTCATGGTTTCTTCCTTTCTGTTGAAATTGTCCACATGCTTGTGGATTTCAATGGCTTCTCTGTGTAGTCTGACATGGTGGTTGTGAGACTGGTCCAGCATTTCTGTGTTCTCAAATAATATGCTGTGTCCAGGTTGGTTCATCAGGTGCTCTCCTATGGCTGATTTCTCTGGTTGGAGTAGTTTGCAGTGCCTTTCATGTTCCTTGATGCGTGTCTGGGCGCTGCGTTTGGTGGTCCCTATGTAGACTTGTCCACAGCTGCATGGTACACGGTAGACTCCTGCAGAGGTGAGAGGATCCCTCTTGTCCTTTGCTGAACGTAGCATTTGTTGGATTTTCTTGGTGGGTTTGTAGATTGTATGTTGTGTTTCCTCATCAGCTTCCCTATGCGGTCAGTGGTTCCCTTGATGTATGGCAAGAACACTTTTCCTCTGGGTGGATCTTCATCTTTACTCTCGTGGCTTGTTCTTGGTCTTGCAGCTCTTCTGATGTCTGAGGTGGAGTATCCATTGGCCTGGAGAGCCCAGTTGAGGTGGTTCAGTTCATCTTGGAGGAGGTGGGGTTCGCAGATTCTTTTTGCACGGTCTGCCAAGGCTTTAATGGTGCTTCTTTTTGGACTTGGGTGATGGTTGGAGTTTTTATGTAGATATCTATCTGTGTGTGTGGGTTTTCTGTAAACGGTGTGACCCAATTGTTGATCTGGTTTGCGGATGACTAGGACATCTAGAAAAGGCAGTCTTCCTTCATTTTCTTTTTCCATTGTGAATTGGATGTTTGGGTGGATGCTGTTCAGATGTTCCAGGAACCTGTTGAGTTCTTCTTCTCCATGGCTCCAAATAGTGAAGGTGTTAAAGCCTTGGCAAACCGTGCAAAAAGAATACAAACCACTTACAGACCCACCAAGAAAATCCAACAAATGCTACGTTCAGTAAAGGACAAGAGGGATCCTCTCACCTCTGCAGGAGTCTACCGTGTATCATGCAGCTGTGGACAAGTCTACATAGGGACCACCAAACGCAGCATTGCCCAGACACGCATCAAGGAACATGAAAGGCACTGCAGACTACTCAACCAGAGAAGTCAGCCATAGCAGAGCACCTGATGAACCAACCTGGACACAGCATATTATTTGAGAACACAGAAATGCTGGACCACTCTAACAACCACCATGTCAGACTACACAGAGAAGCCATTGAAATCCACAAGCATGTGGACAATTTCAACAGAAAGGAAGAAACCATGAAAATGAACAAAATCTGGCTACCAGTATTAAAAAACTCAAAAATTACAGCAGCAAAACAACAGAGGGGAAACAAACAGGCACATGAAATCACTCTCAACAAAAGATTCCCCCCAGGCGCTTCCAAGCCATTGAATGCAAATCAAGGTGATCAGCTGAAACATTCACAGCTAGCCCCAGCAAACAAAAGTCCTTTGTCTCACCCTGGTCATTCCACAGATATATAAACCCATTTTTCCTACTTCCAACAGACCTCACTACCTCTGAGGATGCTTGCCATAGATGCAGGCGAAACGTCAGGAGAAAAATTGCCTCCAGAACATGGCCATATAGCCCGGAAAAACCTACAACAACCCATGGATTCCGGCCATGAAAGCCTTCGACAATACATTGAAATGTTGACAGTTCGAAGCCAGGTCGGCGTGAGCTCCTGACCTTCAGCCCAGCTCCCCTGCCCACCAAACAGATCAAAAACAGCAAGGTGAGTAGATGAATAAGAACCATTGTGACGGCACGAGTGGCGCCACCTATGTATAGAACTTAGTTGCAAGATTTAAACTGTTGTATCATGCTTAATCCTGCCCCCTTTACCTTACTTATATATAGTTGTATGGATTGGTTACTTATAGCTGTCAATCAGTACTGTTTGGCTCCACCTCTTCCTGCAGGAGGAGAGTGCTTCCTTTCTTTTCATTCTGCCCTCAGAGTTCCTACCAGATGGACGTAAGAGACTTGACTCTAAAAGACCCTGATTTAAATTACCTCTTAGCACCAGTTCTGAGGTTTTTTACCCTTGAGACTTGTGCTTCATGTTCACACCAACCTGAACGACGTTGGAAGTCTCAAGTGCCTTCAAACTGGTTCTTTTGGCACCAAAGGAAGATCCTGAGTCTTCAAAACATAGGCCATCTGAACTGGGGTTGTGGTTTGCTCCAGCATTCACAGCCATTGAGGAAAGAGGAAACTTGGTGAGGCTTCTCAGCTTCAAACACCTTGGACCCAGGACTAATTGAGAATGTAACATATCTTTTCCTTCACCCCTCTGAAGTTTCCAGCTCATTGCTTTAAAGAAATAACTCTTTGTGATCAATAAAACTTATTTTGAGTTATTTACAGCGTTTTGGGTTTTTGAGAGTTCCAGTTTCCTATAGGAGGGCAAGAAGCAATCCCCTGGGGGAAAGATGCCACGTCCATCCTTCCTTTATCAAGAATAATAGCCTTCAGGCGCGACGGCACAACCACATTAAGCGGGGAGGTATTTTAGGCATGCTTTACGAACAAAGAAAGCTCTTCGTCAAGGAGATGGAGCAACAGCACTCCCCTTTGGCACAGTGGTCCAAAAGATGCCTAAATATTAGGCATGTGCAATCCATGGTTCTAAATGGTTCTAAAGTACTTACAAAACTAAAGTTCTGGTTGTGCAAACTAGGGGGCGCTGGTGCTTTGCTTCTACAGTGTTGCTAAAGTTCTGGTGGTGAAAATTTCAGAACTCTAACAAAACTTTCAAAATTTCATTATTGGTGATTTTTATGACATAACCCATTAGGAACTGCCATTTATATTATAATGAAATGTTGAAAGTTGTGTTAGAGTTCTGAAAGTTTCACCACCAAAATTTTAGCAACACTGTAGAAGCAAAGCACCAGCGCCCTCTAGTTTGCACTACCAGAACTTTAGTTTTCTAAGTACTTTAGTCTGTCTTGTCATTGCATAATCGGCATTGAATGTGTTCTGTGATCTGCCCTGAGTCCCCTTCAAGGTGAGAAGGGCGGAATATAAATAAATAAAGCCTCACAACCTCTGAGGATGCCTGCCATAGATGCAGGTGAAACATCAGGAGAAAATGCTACTGGAACATGGCCATAGAGCCTGGAAAACTCACAACAAACCAGTGATTCCGGCCATGAAAGCCTCCAATAATACAATAAATAAATACCTTAATTTGTTGATAGTTCTGCTCACTGAACAAGTTTACTCTCTGTATTTCATCTCTTTCTTTTGCCAGTTTTTTCAAAAAAGTCTGGATTTGATCCTGAAAGAAAGAAGGAATTTTTCACCTAATGCTCATATACACACAATGGTTGTTCTAAACTCACAAATATCTGCAGATCTGAAAATTAAACTCATTTTGAACTTTAATGTCTATATTGCTTTTGGTCATTCTGATATTATATACAGTGAAGGTTTGGTTCAAATCCCATTATATACAGTGGGGTAGCAAAATTGTGTCCTTTATATAGAATGGCAAAAATGTGAGTTTTAAAAGATTTTTAGAAGTCCAAATTGTAATAATAATAATATAATAAAACTTTATATCCCGCCTCCATCTCCTCCAAGGGGACTCGGGGTGGCTTACCCATCAATACAGTAAAACACAATATAAACACAAAAAACACAACAACAAAAAATCTAAAAATAAATTACATAAGATATAAAACCAATATAAGTAAGGACTTTATGGATACAGAGGGATGACTCTAATGACTTGCCACCATTACTTTAAAAATGTGTTTGGGGTTGGTTTGGGGAGTTAAGAACCAGGGCACAACTTTTAAAACTGAAATAATTTCCATTTTACATGCAAACGAACTGATGCAGGACATAAAGACTGAGTATGCCTTATGTGAAATGCTTTGGATTTCAAATTTTGGAATATTTGCAAAGATGGAACCTGAAATTCATTTATATGACATAGGCACCTTGTATATATAGCTTTAAGATCATTTTATATACAATATCTATATGTATAAAAGTCATGTATGTTTGTACCAGGAAAGCTGTTGCTAGGTAAAGTGGAAGACAGTTGTTGCGTCTCAGGTTAAGCTTCACCTTGCTCTCTGACAAACCAGCCAAACTTGAGAAGAAAGAAGTTTATTGAGGTTTCAAACAAAACAAAGTAAAAGCAGTAAAAAAGTTCAATAGTACAAGGTAAAGGTCCAATAAGTTCTCTTGAATCAAAGCAGGAAACTTGAGGCAAAGAAGCAGGATAAAATCCAGGCAATAGCATGAGGTTACAGGAAGCAGGCAATCCCCAAGGCCCAAGCCCTGGAGCCGGAGGCACAGCGATCC